TGGTTCTCTCTCTCTCCCAGGTGTATCTCTTCTCTCCATTGCTTAGCAGGATTGTATCCCCAAGGTCCATACTGGTGGGATGGTAGGAATTGATTTCGTGGAGGGCAGACAGTTTGATAGACCTGTTTTTCTGCTCTTCCCATAGGCTTTGTTGGCAGTGTTTTATCTTTTTCCTCCTTTCTTGATACAATATTTTTCTCTCTACTGCAAATGCAAAATTACATGGAGTTTTTCTTGTTGTGCTTTACAGTTGGAAACTAGGTGTAACTGATATGAAGGGATGAAATAATTTTGTTGGCAGTTTACCTCTTGTCAATGCACTTCAGCGTAGCCTCTCACACATCTTATTCCCTTCCTATTTGATAGACTAAATGCTATTCTCTTTGCTTTAAAATGGCTTTGTGGGAATGCTGGAAAAACACCTTATCTTTCTGCCTTGGTTAAAAGAACACAATCGGCTCTAGGAGTTTGTATCCTGCAGAAATTCTGCATGCCTGGTGGGTGTTCTGTGCTTCCCCTCAGTGCTTAGATCATTTGGCTGATCCATCTTCTGTTGGGAAGTGGTGCCGGTGAGGAGAGGTCTCTACAGGCGTTTCGCGTTAGTGAAGTGCAGAGCACTAATGCGTTCTCCTCAGCCAACCTCGCACTTTACATTCTTGCTTTAATATGCAGCCCACAGGTAATGTTGCATGCATGAACTGCTTTCCACTGCCCAGAGCTCCAGGTTTGTTCTTAGTTTGTTCTTGAACTTTTAGTAACAGTGAAAATGAAGGGAGGGTCTGTTTGTATTGTTTATAGTAGGAAAGAATAATGTAAGACTTCATCTACTGTTGTTCAAATCCCTTGCTATTTTTGGTATTCGACCTCTGCAAAGAAGATTGCCAAAACTACAGGTTGTTTTCATTTTTATTAGTGTTTCTACCCTCCTACTTGTAAGTTACTCTCAGGTTACTGATTAAATCTTTGAGAAAGTCCCTTTTCTTCCACATTTTCAATGGTGTTTTTCAGAGAGGTACTTTTATGTTTCTGTATGTTGAGCCAACATTCCCTTTTGGAAATGAGAGCCATGCGATTTGGCAGCATCTTGTGTTCACCACTAACAGGAGAAGGAAAATAACCTACAAATTCCTCATTTATTTTTTGAAAAAGTCTGGATTGAAGAGGACTCATGAGTCTGTTGGCTTGAGTTGAGACCGCAGCGTTTAGAACACTGCACAAAGAGCACAGCACTATATGCTGGGACAGTACTGAGTGTTGGGTTTGTGCAGATGGGTGCTTACCTCCCATTTCTCTGTCATTGGCAAGGGTGGCTTTCAGCACCCCTGGCTGTTTGCTTCTGGTCTTGCTGTGTGGTTCTTTCCACACTCAACTAGCGAGAAATGTGTAACAAAAGCATCTGAAAATCCTGTCCTGCCTCTTTGGCATCTCTTCCACTTCATGCCTTCTATTCTGAAAAATCAAGCTCATTTCTTTTTTAAAGGAGCCTTATAGGTCAAAATATTTTAGGTTATTTCAGACTACTGTGTTCATACTGAGTTCCCAAGATATAATGAGTTTTGAGTGTCCTTCAAGAAGCTTGTTGTTCCTGGTAGTTGTGATACGGAGGAGATGATATGCAGGGATTGCATGTAACTGAAGTTAATTCATAGAAAAGATCACATGAATGTAGTCCCAGAGGACTAGATACAGTTACACAGAAGTTTCTGGGTTAATTTGTAAAAGGTGGCTTTACCTTGCTTAGGGGGTACAGATGTGAATGCAGATGAGGTGCAGCCATTACATACGAGGAATGGTGATCTCTGAGGATGGGGCTGGACTCCTGTTTCAAACACAAGTGACCAGCCATAGCCAGACACCTTCAGCCAGATACATGTGTCATCCCAGTGGTAGTGTATTCCTGGCACCTTAACATCACCTGGATTTTGTCTGTGTTGAGACTAGATTAAGACCACAGGCCACTGTGAGCTGGAATAAGTGAAGAACTTGAATTTAATTAACTACCTCACATTCTGAGCCAAGGAGGTGCTAGGGAAAAGAGGAGGTTTTGGCCAGTGCTCTCTGCGATCTCTTCTGAGACTGGAACAGTTCAAGAACATGCTCTCTGTGCCCTTCAGAGTCTATGTCAGCCAGTTCGTCATGTTAACATGAATAGTTTTCATTATTGATCCTTGCAACTGGGTGTTGTGCTATATCCAAAGCATGTCAGGTTCCAAAGGATTCTTTGTGGCAGAAACAAAAGAGATAGTTGTGTTGTTGAAGTTAAGGAGTGCTCAACTAAAAGCGCTTTGCTTCTGTGGTGCAGAGCACTATGTGCTTTGTAAATGGCTGCGGTCCAAAGCTTAGTTATCTTCTATTGTGTTTGGAAGACCATTGTTTCCTATTTGTCTCATAAATTTAACACAGATCCTATTCCTGCCATTTAAACTTTCCCATCAAAATACAACAGTGACTTCCCCTCCTGAAAAGGAAGGGCTGGCAGCTACACCCTGAAGTTTGAGCCTGAATTGTTTATATAACCTTCAATCACAATTTCATAGGAGTCTGAAGACTCTCTTACTAGGGCAGACATTTTACTGAGTTTTTAGCCAAAACCTGTCTGCCAGCAAATGCAATTTTAAGGCTTCTTAGTTGTTGCAGTGGAATTGAATTGAAAACTGTACCCTCTAGCTTCCTGCTGGTATAAATTGCACATCTATCTGGAAACATGAACAGCATTTTCTGGTATTTCAGAATAGCTGTACTGATGTCATTCAGGGGTAAAAGCTTGAGAGCTATCTTGGGCTAATTTTATTTCCCAGAAAATATTATTAAATCTGAATGAACACGCTTTTGCAGGCTCTAGCTTTTTACAACTTCTGGGTACTTGTAGAGTTCCCTCCCTTCCTCTCCCTAGCAGTAAAAGCTCTGACATGAGTGTTGTAGAAACAGCTTATTGAATAGTATTCTCTATTGAAGTCAGTAATATTTAAACAACTGCAGCTTGCTTTCCAAATGGATGACATTTGTCAGGAACATGTCTGTTTGAGTTTACTTGGCCTTTTTAAGTATAAAAAGTCTGAATATTTAGAGCTTGAAATTCAGGACAGTCTGGCAAAGTACATTTTTCTTACAAAAAGTTGACAGAAAACCCAATTTTTTTAGTAACCATAGCTCTACAGGATAACTGGTTTATGAAGACTTCTTTCTTCACCTTCAAGCACATGCTTTTGAGATGTTATTTAAATTGAAGCTTCTGTTGCAATCCTTCAGTAAATTGGGTAAAATAGAAGTTGTCCTTATTAATAATATTAAAATATTTCTTAAATATAAATTACAATTTTGCATGGGAGTTTAATAGTTCCGCATTTAAGCAGTGTGGCACATGGTCTTTCAGAACAGTTTGCTTTATGTAATAGTTCTAGTAAAAGCTTGTTCCATTTGAGGACATACCCAGAAAAGCAAGTAAGGAGCAAGCTCTGTAGGTAGGGTTCTGCGCAGGCTAATGCCAGAAAACATGTTGAACTTCTCTTCAGAGGGGAAAGGAGTTTCCACAGGATGTCTGCGTTCTATGGCAAAAATTACTCGTAGATGTGCTCTGAAAGGTTGCTCTGATTTGAAGATTAACCTGAGGACCTCGTTGTCAGGATGTTACTGAAGCACACAGCTTAGTGAGATTATTTGTGCCTTGGGAATTGAGTGTGCCTACTTAAGCTGTTTTTAAGAATTTGCTCGTTTGTCACACGTTGTTGTGAATATTTATGTGTACCAAATAGGAGGAGGGAAAGCAAAACCCTGAAAGTGCAAGCAGCACCTCGAAGAAGAAAAACCCAACCCAACAGCAGAATGCAGTTTTGTCATAGCAGCCTGTACCAGTGGGAAGTCACAGGGATGTTGACTCCCTAGAACCTGCTGTGATTCCCTCAATGTTTGGGGTGGGGGCAGTTTAACACAAGAGAGTAATCTAACTGAACCTGTGATTTTAACAGGAGCCTTTCGTGTGGGTGGTTGTGCTTACTTAAGGTACCCTACCTACAGCTGCTTTTTCAAAATGGTTGTAGCTTGTGAACTCACTAAAACCATGTATTGATATGAATGCAAGTATCTCTTTCAAATTTAAATTCTTCAGTACTTTTTCTGGCTCTGAATTGCTGAAAGCCTTTACTGCAATCACAGAATTGAATTTGCCTTTGTGTTACAGAAGAGAACTCTCTTTTTTTCTTCTTGGGTTTCTAGGAGGATTCAGTTGTGCCAGAGAATTGCCTCTGAAGGGGAGATTTTTATCACTTGCACTAAGAGCCAGCATTATGTGGTTTTGTAGGAGGCTCAAAACCCATTTAGGCTCTTAGGAGAATTGATGAAAAAGGTAAAGGTGCTTAATTCCAGTGAATTCCACTGATGTCATGTAGCCTGTTTAGGTAGTCTGTGGTATGCTCACAGGAGTTCATGTGTGTCATTGGGCACCTAAATACTTGTAAAATCTAATCTCATCTGGCCATTTCGGGCTGTAGTTGGATGTAATTTTGGTCTCATTGTCTGCCTACCCTTTGCACGTCCCTCAGCAGAAAAGTTCTCACAAGAAGTCTCCTGCAGTTGCGCTGAGGCACCTATTCGTGGGCTGTGCCTCCAGCAACTTCTTAGAGCACCTCCTCAGGTAGAGGTGATGACTGTTTTCTTTCCACTTGTGGAGACCATTGCTTTACTTCACAAAAATAATAAAGTGAATTTAGCTTAGTGGCTTCCACAGGATTTACAGACAGACTGTTGGATCTTTTAGTGAGGTTATATGATGTAGGGCTTACAGTCACAAGAGACTGAACTCCTTAACTTGGGGAGCGCTTTCCTCTTACTCTGTTTCTGTAAATGAAGCTGTAGTGTGTAGGACATCAGGAAAATTAAGTTTTGACTTCATGCATCATTTCTGTGCAGGATGCTTTTTCACACATTTTTTAAAAGCTGGTATTATTTAAGAATGCTATAATTAAAACTCACCTTGGTTTGTATTTACCGCAGGTTTCTGACAACGTTAGGAACAGCATTTGAGATGACAGCAGTGGAGAAGATTGAGGAGCAGCTTGCTAGTCTGAGCATAGCAAAACGTTCTGTGCTACTTGAGGAGCCTGCCTACTTGCTGGATATAGACGTTTCCAAACCAGCTCAATCCGAAAGCAGTCGCTTTGTGGCAGTTTCATGTTCTAATAAGTCAATAAGGGTCTATAACAGGGAAACATTAAGCTTCCTGCGGGAGTACAGTAGCCATCCTGGGATACTTAATGGAGTCCGATTTGCACACACGTGTGACAGCACAGTGTTTTCAGCATGCAGTGATGGTACAGTGAAGTGTTGGGATATTCGTTTAGCAACTCAGAAAGCTGTGCAGGTATTCCATGGCTATCCTTCCAACGTTTTCATCAGTTTTGATATCAGCTGCAGTGATGTCATACTTTGTGCTGGAACAGAAAAAGTTGAAAAGGACACATTTCTGGTGTTTTGGGATGCAAGAGGCATTGCAAACTGCGCCAGCACAAGTAAAGAACCCTTGGGAGTCTACTCTGAAAGTCATAATGATGATATTACTAAAATTTGCTTTCATCCTATCGAACCCAATTTGGTAGTTTCTGGGTCAACCGATGGGTTGGTTAATGTGTTTGACATTAACAAGGATAATGAAGATGATGCTTTGGTATCAACTTGCAACTCAGATTCATCAGTAAGTTTTATTGGCTGGGCTGGGAAAGATCATAAACAGGTCTACTGCGTGACACATGATGAGGGATTTTGTTGGTGGGACATAGGTCAGGTAGATACCGAAGACCCAATAACACTATTGCATGTTGTGGATGTCAGAGAGGCAGTCCGTCCTGAGAACGACAGCTTGCATTACCTGGTAGGTGGCTTGTACCACGAGAAGGCAGACAAACTGTTTCTTATTGGAGGAACATCCAGCGGACACATTCACCTCATGAGCTGCAGCAGCGATGGCCTGAGCCCGGTGGGTGCCCTTTGCAGAGGACACTCTGCTCCTGTTCGCTCTTTCTGCTGGAACCTGGCAGATGAGTCTCTGCTGACGGGTGGAGAGGATGCGCAGCTGCTGCTATGGAAACCCGGCGCTGCGGAAGGGGCCCTCGCGAAGAAGGCGTCTATGAAGATTGCGTCTTCTGTGCACAAGAGAGTGAGAGTTCACAAGAGCTCCCTCAAAAGCAGGAAAAGGTGACATCTGGAGAGTGGGGATCTCTGCTGTGTAGAGCTTTCCTGGTGTTTAATCTCTCAGGCAGTAATTGGCTGTGCTTTATTTGGAGGTGTTCTGTGAAAGGAACTGTGACGTTTGAATTCTACCTGGGAATGATGTATTTCAGTCATCAGAAGAATGCCTTTTTATGGGTTTTGTTTGGTTGGTTGGTTTGTGTATTTGCATTTTTTAAAGTTGCTAATATTAATCAGAAAGGAGTAAATGTTTGCTCTTGAGTTCTTGAAAAATATCTCTTATATTTTATAAAAATATTTCTGTGGTTGTTTAATGTCTCAGCCAACACTTTTAATGTGTAATACAGGCCTGTGGCTTGCATCATTTGCTACCTTCCCACTGAAATTCCCTGGCATGTTTTAAGAGCTTTTGTATTTCATGCAGTATTTTTGCTTTCTTTACAGAAACTTTAATAAAATTGCTCAATATATTAAAAGATTTTGTCACATCTTTATGCCTGAAGGAATTACTTTTTGATAAAACAGAAAACAAGTACTGTTTTGCACTGTCATGTCACTGGTTTATAACAGGCTCATAAAGAAGCAGTGGATTCAGCCCGATTTTCTCGTAGCAAAAATATGAATGTATTCAACCGTAGAGGAGCACAGGATTCCAAGCAGCTCATTTTAAGTGTATGAGAACTGTTAAACTTGCATTATTTAAGGCATATTTCCTCCATGAAAATACTCAAGAATCTCATAAGCAGCTTCATTCTCTCCTGGTAAGTACATCTCGGGGAGGTGCACCTGGAAGACTGGGGAGATACTCCATTGGTTAAAGAAATAGATAGGTGTAATTACGCCAGTGGTGCTTAAAGTCCCAAGTCCTGCATTTGAAATAAGCTGCTACCATATGCTAGGAGGGGATGTTAAAAACCAAAAATGAATGCCGCCTTCTGAGACTAGATGGAGCGCCAGCCAACATGAGGAGACTGTACAAAACCTCTGAGAGGTTAGTGTGTGTCCTTTAAGAAATGTTTCTCTCTGCATAGAGGCTTTATGCTTAGGTATCTCCCAAGGACAGCTTTGTTTTAGTATTCCATCAAATACCTATTACATGATGGAAAAATTGCCCAGTACTTCCAAAACAGGTGTGTCTTTATGGTTATTCTGCTCCCCTGGCAGACCATGATCTGCGTGTTTGGCTCTGCACACACAGTTACCTTCAGCCTTCTGAGGATCGTTGCAGTCCCATGGTGGTTGGTAACTACAGCATGGGTAACACGTGTGGACTACAACTGAAGACAGCACAAGAGCGTTTCAGAATTGCTATGGTATGGAATAGATGGCAAAGGAGTTAAGAGGGGCTGGGTTTATTTTTTCACCTGAGAGCGGAGAGGTGATTCTTTCAAAACAAGCTTGAATGTCGAGTTTAGATTAGTCTGGAGTTCAGGAAGTTTCCAAGGCACAGAGGATACCTCTAGCAGATGGTTGCAACTGCACCGAAGATGTCCTCATCATCTCTGGAAACAAATCCCATTCAACCACAAGTACCAAGTTTCCACATGATGCAATTTTACAAACTGTTCATGTCCTTGAGCCCCAACTATGCATCCATAGTTGGGTTTGGTCTGCCTGTTGGTGATAATAGAGATGATTCACTCGCCTTTGTTACTGCTGGTTATTTTAAAATGCAGCTTCAATTTAAAAATCACATTTCTCCGAACTCTTTTTTTTTTTTCAATGCCTGGTGTTAAATTCCTCTTCTGGTGCTTTTCAAATTGCTCTGTGCTATTTTAGACAATCTGGGCGGTGAGTGTCAGGACTGTGATTCACCTGGATCATGTGCCCTTTCGAGATGTATTCTCCCAGGTCACTTGTTATTGCCTGTTTCTGTGGAATTCTGTGAGTAGACCAAAAGCCTCAGACCCCTCTGAATTTACCATGATGCCCTCATGGGCCTTATGGGGTTCAATACCAGTAGCTGGGGAGTGGGGAACTAAAGGATGATTCTGAGACCTACTTCATTGCAAGTACAGCACGTAACTTGCCTTTCAGGTGTTCAGCCACTCTTCCTGGTATCTTGATGCACACAGTGGAGCAGGGTCATTTGCTCTGTCTAATGCCTGATTTGGAGAGTTCTGTTTGCTACGTACAGG